AAATCATGTGTCCCAATGAGTCAAATGAATTAACTTTGACATGGTATAATTGGAGTAACACACAAAGAGCCTTGATTTTCTGTAATGTGGTGCAACTCGATGGTAACAGTCAGAACTTGAAGAATGCAGCTGGTTTTGATAATAACTAGAATCAGCCACTGTGACATTCTTATTAGCTGCTGATTATAAAGTTGCCACAATTTGTACAATTTATAGACATGCCTCAATGTTTACAATAGATTGATGGAACTTGAAAGCTCTGAAATAGCCCTAGGCCTGGGTTGTTTCTTGAACTAGTTTTAATAACGTGCCTCTTGATCCGATCATCTTCTTCTTTCCAGTAGTTTTCAGGAGTCCCTCCAGTGCTGGTGCCGGTCTCTGATCCAGCGCTGACTGCTGTGTCTTCTGTGTCCCGCCGTGTCTATCCGACATGCACGCTCACGGCTGCGCGCATTGACTTACAGTGTGTCTCTCCCCGCCAAAGATGTCTACTGCGCATGTGCCCGCCCCATCATCCTTCACGGCCGCTCGAGAATCTTCAGGTCTTCAGACGGGAGCGAGCAGCACAGACACGCGGAAGTAATTACCTATTTGGTAATTTTTTAAAATGTTTTTTGCATATATTTACTGCTTGCTAGCAGTAGGTATATGTAAAAACAAAAGTGACTAATACTACTTTAATATACAAGGGACAAGCCACCTTAGACACCTAAACCCTCACAGCCCCTATGAGCATTTCAAAAAAATAGAAGCTAGAAGAAATTTCAACCCTTAACCCCTTCGTGACTGACGACGTACTGTTTAAACAGACTCCCGGTGACTTTTGCCGCCGGGACTCTGTTTAAACTTGTAGAGCCGAGCATTCACTGCATTAGGGGGAAAAACAGCCCAGCACCTTTTTTCTACCCCAGTCCCCCCCACACTTACCTGTCAGCTGCGCACGTCCCCGCCGCCCCTCCCGAAGCGATCCTCCGTACCTCGAACTTCAGGTTGCGGGGGAGGATACTGATGGCAGAGGAGCCATAGGCTCCTTCTGCCATCAAATAGGGAAGGGGCATGGCCTGCCACAAGGCTGTGTGTGTCTATGGACGCACACAGCCGCTGCGCGCACGGGTGCCTCCATTAGAACAATGGTGGCACCCGTGCAGGGGGAAGAGCATAGCCGGGACCCACTAGAAATCGAGGAATTAAGTACTTTTAAAGAAAAAAAGCAGTATCCTCCAGCAAAGGAGGGTCTCCTTAAAGGAGAAATAAAATAAAAAAAATTGGCTTTATTATCACTTTAAAGCCTAACCCATGTAAAAACAATTTAAACTCCAAGAAGCATTAAAAATATTATTTTTTTCAGCTTATGCAATTTAACAAAATATAATATGTGTTATTTCAATTTGGCTGCAAAAGTGGAAATACACTTTAAGGTTGCTGGTTTTGGCATTAAAGGGGTTCTGAACCCTCCCGTTTTTTTGCCTAGATCTACTGCTATCAAGTAGATCTAGGCAAACAGTTTTTTTTTTTAAAAAACCCTCTTCAACAGCGGTTTAAACTTTATCTTGTTTTCGCTGCGCGCTCCCGCCCAAGAAAACAAAACTGTTCGGGCGGCCACAAAGCATCTTGGGGCGGGCGCATGCCGCAGACGAGCAGAGACGCAAGGTAAGTCTATGGACGCGTGCACCCGCATGCAGACACCGTGGGATCAGAAGTGCCAGCAAGCAGAGAGGAGTCAGCGCTGGATCGGAGAGCCGCCGCACCGCGGGAGGGACAGGTTAAAACATCAGGAAAGAAGAAGATGATCGGCTTAAGAGACATCATTTAAGGTAAGTGCTGACATTAACATTGGGGGGAGGGAAACATTTTTTATCCTTTTTAATGTCACTTCAAGAGTCTAACAATACAATATTAGTAACCCCTGAAACCAACTACCAGTAATTTATTTGTTCAGTAAAGATACAGCTGTGTAAAATATATAGTGTGTTGTTTGTTTAACATATTCTTTTATAGGTTAGGGGTGGCAGCCAAGGCATAAACATAAGTAGGCTTTTTTGTGAAGTTTATGCAATCGGTGGTGATATGCAAATTGCAACAACCTATATCAGTCAATTAGATTTATTTTTACCGTCCTCACATTAGTAGATTCATTTTTGATATATTACTGTGGGTTGCTTTGCAATCTTTATTGCTGTTTGAACTGCTTTGCTAAAAGCAGTCTATGGTATTTTTATATTTTTATTAGATATATACGATATACAGGACTTGAGAGTAAAATTTATAAATAGGTTGAAGTTTGGTTATTATAAATTATTGCATATAACTATTCTTATTTACCTTTTTCAGCCAGCAGGCGGAAGTTTATGCAGGGTCTGTCTTCGATGGAAACCTTTTCCTTTCAGGCAGTTCCTGTGTTCAAAATAGACCTGAGTGACTTAGAGGAGCAACATTCCCCCTCCTCTGCTAGGGAGGTAATTGTCTCAACTAGTGAACTCACACAGTCTGACAGAAAGCCTAAAAGTAGTGCTGGGCTTTCTTTTTAGAAAACCCAATATGCATTTCAAGCAGCATATCATGCATTAACTCCTATAATGTTTATTTGTATAATAAAGATTGTTTAGAGCTTTAAAATAATATTAAAAATCAGTGTATATATGCAAAAGGTAGAAAATTAAACTACTCAAAAGCAGTTATGGTTTCCAAATGTTGAGGACAGTGAGCAAAGTCCAAGACAACTCTTATGCTGTACAGCATGAACTTAGCACAGTCACAAAGAAATGACAGCTGGCAGTATTTGTGTCTGAACTGCAGGCAGGCCAAGGCTGGATGCCATGTTTCTCTCCAGGCCCGTTCACTAGCACCTGCAGTTTACTTTACGAGGCTTTTTACTCTATTCATAAAGTCAGGGTGTAAACTGCAGACATTATTCATATGCCCTTCAGGAAGAAATCAAATGAGTTTCCAGCCCCTGGAAGCACCTGTTGAGCAGATCCGTCTTTTACTTCTATGAGTCCTGTGCATTTAATCTACTAGCAGGCTGATCTCTATGCCAGAGCCTTGTGTCACATGCTTTTTTGGCAGCAGCCGCCTCATTATACGTACAGGATAATGGCACAATAACTGGCTTGTGACAGCAATAGACTTCAAGTATCCTGTTTCACTGTGGATGCCAGTCTGTCCTCTGTGTGTGTGTGTTAGATCGCTGGTTAAATTGAGAAATCCCCATGCTGTTTGGCAGTACTCAGACGTAATATACTTGCCTAAAAAAATGTCACCTTTTTTGTCTTTGGGACAATAATAATAAAAAATATATGAGAGAAATTTTAGTCTTTCTTTGTCCTTATACAATTTCTTTAGTTGTACACTATCGGTGGTTCTTAACTATAATGAGACCGGGCCTGGTATATTCTTCCAAAACCTTCTATGCCCGAACAGTAAAATGTAAAGTTTTTTTTTAGGGATGCACAGATACTTTTCGAGTACCAGTGCAGATACTTGGCATTTTCATGAGAACCACCAGGGTTGCAGCGGTTGCAGCTGGGACCTGGCTCTGGTGCTCCATCACTGTCCTGAAATCATTAGACTGTATTGTTTTAGTAAAACTGTCACATGACAATAAATAAAACTGTATCAGTACTCGTACTTGTAAGTTCTCGGCAAGTACCAGTACTCGTACTCGCAAAACTGGTATCTGTGCATCCCTTTATTTATAAAAACAAAATCGTACATTAAAACAGATGTACAAATCCCAGTAGCTCCGTGTGCTCCTTACAGATGACAGCTGCCTCCTAACTTTTGAATTTTTCTCTAGTGTAGTCTTAAAAGTATCGGTACTTGTACCAAGTACGCTACTTGGTATCTGTGCAACCCTAGTTTTTTTCTAGAATAAAAATATAGAAATATAAAATATGTACTTAAAATGTATTAAAAAGGGAGTATTCATTTGAAAAATGTACAATATATCTATTGTATAGAGTATGAGACCAATTTACATTAGCTTGAGCAAAATAAAACGAGAAAGAGCAGAGAATGCAATCAGAGGCAGATTTATGAAAATTGGAGCTACTACTCATCTTTACCCACCTCAACCAAACTGGTGACGTTTCTCACAAGAAAATATGCTGAAATACAATACATTTGTATTTAATTTCAATACCGGAGAGAAAAAAAAAAACAATCATGTACCTATTCCAGTCAATTAGGTGACAGTTGTGCTCAGGGCTTGACAAATCCCAGACGCCAGATCCTGGCGTTCTGGCGCCTGGGCTTTTGTCAGCCTGTTCACTGTACCCCCCGCCTCTGCTGCTGCTGCATTAGCTCTGCTCCTCCTGTTCCATGCTGTGGTCTGTGTCCCCTTTGATCCCCACTGCTTTCCCTGCCTGTAGCAGCAGAGGCAGCGGAGATTGGTTTGGACACAGACCTTTGCCCAGTGGTGAGGAGAGACTGATGTGGATCAACTGCCCGGTGGCAACACTCGCATCCAATGGCTGGCAGCAATAGCCAGCCTGCTATTGACTATTTTAAATTGCACTAGTTAATGGCTATTGCACCCGCCCACTGCCTGCTGTGTCATTGAGTTCAGGTGTTTCAAGTGAAAGGTACTGTTAATGCTAAAGCATACTAAGACATTTTAGAAAGTGGTGCACTTTCACCCTTGTGGTAATAGTTTGGGGAAGCCCCTTTTCTCTTCCAGCATAACTATGCACAAAGCCATCTCAATGGAGACATAGTGGGTAGCCCCACTGCAAGGGGTAAGATTATTTCTGGCCGAGTTCTTCTTTAAGGGATTTCAACAAAAAAGTATATGTTGTAATCAAATAGAAGATGGTGCTGTCCAGTCATTTTTTATGGATCTCTAAATATGCCCTATAACAAATAGATTTTTTTTTTATGTTGTGGTATTTCTCTTTTAGTAAAAATCAATGTTGGTATTTTGCTGCTTTTGTTGCCTCGAGTGGATTTCTAAGTATTGAAAGGACTTTATTTTTCTATTAACATTGTTCGTCTTTCTATAGGAGGAAAGGATAGAAGAAGCGGCCTCATTCTGACAATCCCATTGTGTTCAGACCAGACAAATATGGATGAGCTGAGTGTTACTCTGGACTACCTACTGAGCATCCCAAGGTGACTTCTTCCCTCTAGCATGAATAAATTATGGTGAACTTTAAAACTGGACGCAAATGGCTTTGCAAGTCCATATCATTTGTAATGGCTGCTGCACAGCATTGTTCAAATATTTCTTTACCATTTGTTTTAATAAAGTAGAAAAAAAAACAGTGATGTGCAAAGAACCAATACTGTTTTATGTGGACCATCAGTAACCTGACCTAACTTAACCTCTTGTTGACCAGCCACTGAACATAAAAGGCCTGTCTGCTGCCCCATTGTTCCGGAAGGACATACCTGTACATCTTCTCATTAGACAGCGGGGAGAATCGGCTTCAGGCAAAGAGTTGACCGGATCTGTTGCGTGTAATCACTGTGATTGGTTATTACAGTGATCTCAGGAAAATGTTTACAGGTCCTCCCCTTCCTCTTACAACACAGGCAGGGGAGAATAAAGTCATTCATTCATGAGTTCCTGTTGAAAACAAGCTGCAGCAGCAACACAAAATATTTTGCAGTAATATTTAAGGGGGAGCCACGGAGGGGGCCGCAGCTAACCGGCACCTCATACAAGCCATCCGCCGGCTCTATAGCTGGCGGATGGTTTGTATGTAAACAGGCATCGGTGCCTGTTTTTAAATTTAGGCACTTTCCCGCTCGCGTGCGAGTGGGCATGGCTGAGTGGACGTTTAAAACCACCCGCTCAGATCCAGAGAGCTGGCCGTTTTTTTTAGCCCACCTCCTGGCAACTTGCTTTTTATACTTATTTATTTTTTTTATTTTGTGTTGACCGCTTGCTTTAGTTTAAATTTTTTCAAAATGTTGTATTGCCTGAAAAGTACAGTGAAGGCTACAATTCTGGCTCCCCTGCCGTATTGCGTGTATCTGACAGACACCATTTCCGATGTTGTGTCTCTGCCCCCTCTCTGTGATTTTCCATTTATAAAGCACATCCTGTGATGATTGCAGACACAATGTATTAGAGTAGGGAAGGTTAAAACTTCTAATGATGTTTTTATTGCTGTCCATGGCTTTCTGTTCCGGTGATGATTGCACCCTACATTTTGAGTACATGTGCTACAGTACATGTGCTATCTTCAGCATCACTATTGCAAGCTCGGCTCCTGTTGGTGGTGCTTATCATATGCTTGCTATGTAGACAACGCCATCTAATTGAAGGAGGTGATATACATGGGGGCAAGTGAAAAAGGGAGTCATATATTATTGTATAACTTGGACATTCCAACAATTACAGGCAGAAGAGTAGAAAGCACAAAATATCTAGATGTTTGAATTGTTATTATTTTAGCCATGTGGACCCTCAAAGCAGTAACTGTTACACAGAGAGGGATGTTCTTCCGAAATTGCTGTTTGAGTTTGTTAAAGTGAATGTATGTGTTCAGGTTCTGGTTTTAAGCAGTCACTGCCTCCTGTTGCGTACCAGTTTTAGGACAATGACTTGGTTAACAGGTTTACTTTCACTTTCCCAGTACTGTGTGGTGTATGAGTCAGGGGATGTCTGCTTCCACCAGAGCTTAATCACATGGAGATTTTGCTTTCTGTTGGATTTATTTTAAATAGAAATACTCAACCAAGCTTGGCAGGCTAGGCTTGTCCTCTTCCAGTGATGGAAATATTTTTTTATAGACAGATGCTATCACAATCTGCCTCCCTTCTATAAAATATTGCTTCCTCTTATTTACCAGTACTGTGCCCACCTGTTTCCACTGAAGGTTTTTTTTCCCCCCTTTTTGACCTCGCATATTTTTACTATTTTGATGATTCTCTTGTGTTTTTATATGCAGACAATAAAACCGATCTTCAGGTAAAAACAAAAATAAACTACCTGCTCATTAATGTTTTAGGGTACTTATGTAAAGAGTTTTTACTTATGCCTGCTCCTGCAGGCTCCTAAACATGCACCTACAGGCTCTTTCACCTATAATCACATTTAGATGTGTACACACACACACACACACACACACACACACACACACACACACACACATATATATTTTATTTTTTTTTTTCCCCCCTTCACATTTGCATGCTGACCAAGCTATCTTGCAAAAGTTACAATGACAAGAGTTGGGACGAACTGAAACTGCCAAAGGTGATTGAGCAGTAGCAGCAACATGATCTTTTTTTATAAACAAACATAATAAACCATGTAAAATTAAGGCTGTTGTTTAGCACCTCTACCTCCTAGCTTTATTATAGCTTGATCTGCATATTTGTATCAATTTATCAAAATGGAAAGTAAATGAACAGAAGAGAAATCCAAATCAAATCAATATTTGATGTGATCACCCTTTGTCTTCAAAACAGCATAAATTCTTCCAGGTCCACTTGTAGGCTGCCTCAAATCCTTCTGTCTCTTCCTGTAATCCCAGACAGACTCGATGTTGAGATCCGGGCTCTCTGGGGGCAAAACCATCACTTCCAGGACTCCTTGTTCTTCTTTACACTAAACATGGTTCTTAATAACATTGGCTTTATGTTTGGGGTCGTTGTCCTGCTGCAGAATAAGTTTGGGGCCAATCACGCACCTTCCTGATGGTATGTCATGATGGCTAAATATCTGCTTGTTTTTCTCAGCATTGAGGATACCATTGACCCTGACCAAATCTCCAACTCCATTGGCAGAAATTAGGCCCCAGATTTGCAGGGAACTTCCACCATGCTTCACTGTTGCTGCAGACACTCATTATATCGTTCTCCAGTCCTTTAGTGAACAAACTGCCTCCTGCTACACCCAAATATTTCAAATATTGACTCATCAGCCCAGAGCACCTACTGCCATTTTTCTGCACCCCAGTTCCTATGTTTTTGTGCCTTGTTTACATGTCGGAGATATGGCGTTTTGGCCGCAATTCTTCCATGAAGCTCACTTCTGGCCAGATTTCTCCAGACAGTTGATGGCTTTACCTGCGTCCCACTGGTTTCCACCAGTTCGGTGCTGATGCCACTGCTGGACATCTTCCAATGTCAAAGGGAAGTAAGCATAATGTGTCTTTCATCTGCTGCATTAAGTTTCCTTGGCCGTCCACTGCGTCTACGGTCCTCAGCCTTGCCCATTTTTGTGCTTCTTCAAAAGAGCTTGAACAGCACATCTTCAAACCCCAGTCTGCGTTGCAATCTTTACCTGGTAGAGACCTTGCTGATGCAGTATAACTATCTTGTTCCTGTGCTCAGTCTTGCCATGGTGTATGACCTGTGACATGAAACTGTCTTCCACATCCTCACCTTGGTAGCAGAGTTTGACTGTTCCTCACCCAGTGTTAAGCCTCCAACACAGCTGTTTCTGTTTCAGGTAATGACCGTGTTTCAACCTACCTATGAAATTGATGATCATTAGCACCTGCTTGGTATATTTTTGGTTAATTATACTCCTGACTCTAATCCTACAAAATCCCTGGCTTTGTGAAAGTGTAAGAATTGATGCTGGTTTGAAGCCAAAGGGTAGTCGCACCAAATATTGATTTGATTTAGATTTTTCTCTTGTTTGCTCACTATGAATTTTGTAAATTGATTAAAATAAACAATAAAAAAAAAATATATTTTTGATAGTATTCTTACTTTACAGCATTTTTCCACTCCTGCCTAAAACATTTCCACAGTACTGTGTCTTCGCACAATCGATACGTCCAGGATTGATTCCTAAGCTTAATGATCGGGTGTCAGCTGCTGCATTTAAACACCGGCACGCTGCATGTGATTGTATATGATACGATTACATGTGGTGTCCTGGCATTTTAATGCAGCAGCTGACACCCGATTATTAACTTGAATGGGTGACAGCTGCCACTTGTAAACGCAAGTTCCTGAGGCAGGATTCACTAATCGCAACATATACGTGTGAATGGGGCTTAAAGGATGCTAGGTGGCAATAGTTACTAACTAGATTGGAAAGGGCATTGTCAGATCTCCTTTATCTTGAACGATGGTAGTGAACGATTAGAATAACAAATCTTGCTTAGTTTAAAAGTATGTGTTAAGGTGGCCATACACTGTACAACCATCGCAAGACCTTAGTCTTGCGATGGTTGTAAAGGGATTAAAAAAAGTACGATCTGCCTATCTTGGACAGGCAGATCGCACTCTCGATCATCGCAAGCCCGCCCCCCTGAGGGGCGGGCTTCCGATGACCGCAATGCTGAATGGGCAGTGTGCGCGTGCGCACACCGGCCCGTTCAGCATTTGTCTTCCGAGCACCGTTCTAACCAGCCGAGAATCGTACGATTCCCGGCTGGTTTTCGAACATGCTGGTTCGACGGAAGACGTGCGACCGTACAGTAGAAACGGTCGCACGTCTCCGTTCACACTGCTCGATTCTCGTACGATCGCGGGATTTCCCGCGATTCTCGTACGAGAATCGAGCAGTGTATGGGCACCTTTAGAGGTGGTCTAATTATTGTATGAAAATATCTTGGATCAGAATAAAATATTGTCAAATGAACATCCACGGACTCTGTAAAGGTTAAGAGACATCAGCTATATATAAAAGGAATACAGCTTTACCCTCAGTATAGAAAATAATTATTTACCATTAGTCTCTAGGCTGTGAAGCACTCTGCAGCCTGCGGTAATAATGGCCAAATCAATAATAGAATATAAAATGGTTTGGATGTGTTTCTTACAGCTAATAGCATCCATAGTTATCATTCGTAAAGTATAATATTGATATATTTTGGCCCTGGGAATACACAAAATTGTTTGTTTGAATCAGGGAGGATTTTTTTTTGTCTGTGGTACTAGAAACGCCACAGTTATTGGGGTGAGGGGTTCATGATTTATTTATTTTTTTAAATCTAGGGAGCTATGAAACTGTATACTGCCCACTGAAACCCAAGTTATCCTTTATTGAGATCAAGAATACAGCATCTTAAAGGAGAAGTATTGGGAGAGTAAAATGTACTCTTCCCAATACATAGAGCAGGTATGTGACACTGCAGGTGTCACATTCCGGCTCTGTAGATCTAGAGATGAGCGATCACGAACCGTTTATTGCTCAGTTCACGGTCTTCTCCATGCGGAGAGCAGTGACTGTCAGTCACCACTCCCCGCAGGGATTCTCCCCTCCCTCTCAGTTCCTCCAGCGCTTGTTGGAGGGACAGACAGGGGAGGAGGCGGGTACAGATGGCTCTGGCTCTAGAGAGGCAGTGGAACCACCAATCAGGCAGCAGAGTGGATCCTGACAATATTGTCTGGATCTTTCTCAGCTGCAGCATGGCTCTGTCCTGTCAGCAAATAATGGGCAGTAGCCCACTAGATGCTAACTTTGGGTCACAAGTATATTAGTAAATGTACTGCTGTTACCCAAAAAAGGATGAAAGCCAAAAAAAGGTTTGGATTTAGTTCTCTTTTAATGAGGATTTAGGGTGTATCAAGAACCCTCTTTAAAATGTACATCAAACCCTCTTATGGTAAGAGCCACTGACTACAGTTTAATCAAGCACTACTATCCTGTATTTTTTTTTCTTTTATATGAATGTTGATTTAACCGCCAAAATGGTTGCCTCCATAGTGCCTCTAACTGTCCACTTAAATAGACATCTACCCAAACATGCCTAATCCTCAAGTGTTTTCCTTTTTAAGTTCAATAAAATAAATGCAGTTTTTTTTATAAGCTGTGATTATTTTTTTTTTTTTGCAGTGATAAGTGTAAAGCCCGGGGTTTTACTGTAATTGTGGATGGAAGGAAATCACAGTGGAATGTAGTAAAGACTGTGGTTGTCATGCTCCAGGTAAGTGTAAACCAGTGTGTTACTTCTGACTTATGTTGCTTTAGGTTGGTAAGCAGTACTTGCAAGTGATGTTGGATTGTTTTGCTCGAGCTCACACTGATCCTAGGTTAAGCAATTTCCATGGACTCGTAATTTCTGTGGATGAAAAACGTCTTTAAAAGTGTTAGCCCGGGTTGTGGTTTCAACTTTCTCCTGTATATTTTCTTCCATTTTACAGCTTGTTATAAACTTTTCATTATTATATTAGTTGTTCAGTTATTAGTATGACAGGAGTCTCATTTATTTATATCACTTGTCAAAGTCTGGATGTCATCAAGGATTTAATCAGCAGCCACAGTGCTCCGAATTCCACAACAGTGCCAAAAGCAATGTGGGATCGATTTAAAAAAAAAAAAAAATTATTATTATAAAGCCATTACCTTCAATCACTTGTGTTTACATTTAAAATAGTGTTCTTAAAACCTTTATGAAAATGTAGATTGGAGCATTCAATGAGCAGTTATGTACTACTTCCATTGTTCCCACAAAGTTCTTGGGTTTTGTTATTCACTAGTGAAAATTTCAAGTATTCTATCTATCTATCTATCTATCTATCTATCTATCTATCTATCTATCTATCTATCTATCTATCTGTGCTGTCGTGGTGACAGACGGAATACACCAGGAAATTGGTATTGGTAGCAGAGCACTCATTTAAATACAACACAGCTTGTACATGTCAGCCCAGAGCTGGGTAGACAGGCTAACACAGGGTCTTTCTTTATATTGAGCACATAGTTGTATCTTTTAGGACCACTCTTCATGTTTACTTGCTGTAGGTTTTCACCATCCACTGTAAAAATGACTGATTATTTTTATATTCATGAGGGTCGGTGTACTTTCAAGTGAAGCTTATACTCACTTTGCTGCATTTTTCATATATTTATGGAAACACAATCGGGTTCACTTCAATGATCTTCTTGGTGAGTGTGTGGACAGGCTTTTTTGGCATTACAATGTAATCTCTCTGCATCCTAGGACAAGGATCTCTCCTGATCCGCAGGAAATTGTGCTATTACGATTCTGTGTGGACTGCTACGGACAGATGAACAGGCTGCTGTCACTGTGTCATTAACTTGAATGGGCACAGCGGCGGCATCTGTACGAACCCACATGGAATTCTTGCCGCAGGAATCACTGGACCCCCATGTGCATGAGACATAAAGCATTAGTGTACAGTGTCTAGGTACAACTGAGCAGTCTAAAAGACACCAGAGATAGGACTAGCGCACTTCAGTTATCAGTGATGAGTAACTACCCGGCAATACAAGGAGGACATTTGTGCCGAGGGGTGTAGCTGTTACGACAGCATAGAGCACTGAAGTGTGAGGACTGGAAGCAGCATTTGTACTGAGAGGAAAGGGTATTTTAAAATGGAACTGAGCTCAAAAATGAAGGTTTTCTATGTTGTAGGGAACATCCAGGAGTTTTAATTTTGCCTAAGCAGTTCCCCCCCTGAAAATGTAATTTTTTTTTCTTGAAGTCTTCCTGAAAAATAGCAGTGTGCTTTATAATATGTGAAGGTGCCTAGGAGCTCCAGTGCCTACAGTCTCATAGATGTTTATCTGCAGTGTAAATTTAAGGCTCTACTGCCGCCGATTTCTAGTGGCAGGAGATTTTGTTATGTCACTAAGGTCCTGCTTACTAGTAACACGAGTAAGTAAAGACTTGCCTCAACCAAAATGGCTGCCTCCAAACAGACACAGAACAAGGGCCTAACTGGAATCTGAAAGGACTTAGACTAATTATTCTCTATTTCTCTATTCCATTTTTACTAGTCCAGTAAAACTTTTAACAGTACCAAGCCTTGTTAAATGGGGACCATTGGAACCCCCAAAATGCAATTTTGAGTCTGAATAACATTGAATCTGTACTTGCACTTTCTGCTTCTGGTGCTGCTTGCATACCCAATCCCTACAGTGCAGAACAAGGCATTTCAAGTAAGAGGAAGATTGGCTACATGGAGACCACAGGCAATACTGGTGAGTAGTCATTTGCCCTCTGCTTGCCTTTTTTGGGCACAGATTTCAGCGTTCAGTTCCTCTTTAAAGGAGAACTATGGGGTTAAGTATTTTTCCCATAGTTCTCCTTAGGGTATCGGGAGGACACAAACTAGCGTCCTCCCGTCACCCTAGGCTCAGTATACCGCGAGCTGTAGCTCGCGGTATACTGAGATGCCGCAGTATACCGCGAGCTGCTGCTCGCGGTATACTGAGACGCCACAGCTGAAGCGGATCCCAACAATTGTGCCGGGATCCGCCCAGCTGCGTGACTGACAGCTTTCTCTGCCGATCTAGAGGCTGAGCCAGCTGTACCCGCCCCCTCCCCCGTTCGTTCCGCCAGTCAGCGCTGGCGGATCGAAGCGGGGAGGGGGGAATCCAGCCCCTCCCCTGTCACGGCAGAGAGCCGTGACAGGATCGAGAGGTGAGCGAACGCCGGTATGTGTTCGCTCACCTCCCGATCTACTGAGCCGACCTGTGACAGTCTCATTGTCACAGGTTGGCTAGAACTATGAGGTGAGTGAAAAGCACTCACCTCATAGTTCTCCTTTTAAGGCATTTCCAAGCAAAAAGTTAGTACAGATCATAACAGGCAGGGATACAATTGCCTTATATTCAGATGGAATTGAGGGAGCATTCCTGCATTTGAACTACAGTAATACAAATATTGAACAGCAAGGAAGTAAAAATGTGAAAGTTGTGTCTAGAATGATGTTCAGATAAATGTCAGATGGTTAGATAACAATAATTTGCTAAAAAATGTCCATAAACTAATGAAGCAGTGTTAGTAACTGGATCTTTAATGGTCCTATACAAATCTATTGAAATCACTTTTACCATATGGTTTTTAGGCTACAGGGGCAGTAGTGTTTAACCCCTTCATGACTGAGCTAGTTTTCAGGTTCTGTTCATAAATGACTGACATATTTTTTACATTTTTGCTGTGTGATTCTTCCACAGCAGTAATATACTTTCTTACTAAATGTACCCACACATATTATATATTGTTTTTTAGAGGACAGATAGGGCTATATAATTATATCACATATGTGTGCCTAACCCCTCACTTAATACACATGTCCCATCCATTTTCTGTTTACTTTCATCGACTCTTGCACAGGTATCACTGTAATTAGCCATTCACTTTGAAAAGAGACAAACTGATATTAGCTGCCTGAGTTATTATGAAAACTGTATACTTTGAGCGATGTTAGAGGTGGACAGATGAAGGAGTCATACAGCTCACACTGCTGTTCCCACCACGGCTGTCAGTCATACCCCATGACCTGTAGCAGCAATTAAGATGAAATGCATTTGCTTTCCCCTAAGGCTTCTGTCCTAGTGTCCTGCTCCCAGACTGAAAGCATTGCTACCTAAAAGAACTGACAGAAGTCAATAATCGCTATAGGCGATCTAATATCAAGACTGGAAAATGAAAATACAGAATTGGTTTTGAGATGAATGTATATGAGATGACCTTTCCAGTGTCCTTGACTGAAGTCTGTGCAGTGTAATTTGGTAATGATTCATTAAACTATTCCCTACAGTGCACGTGGCTTTGGTAATGGGAATTTAATTTTTATGTTTTATGACAGTTATTGACAATTCTTTGTATCCATATCCGTGCAATATTAACATTTATCCCTTGGCTACATAAGTGCTCTGATTGGCAATGAAACTAAGTAGTTGGGTGTTTTAGTTGGTGTATTAAGCCATTTTAACAATGCTTTTAAAATATTGGTTTTCTATTTAGTGAGAGTTCTTCCTTAACCACTTGAAGTCCGTGGTGTTAAACCCCCTTCCTGTCCAGGCCATTTTTCAGTATTCGGCACTGGGGTACTTTGACTGACATTTGTTCTGTCATGCAAAGCTGTACTGAAATTAATTTTATACAATTTTTTGGGGACAGATAGAGCTTTCTTCTGGTGGTATTTAATCACTACTGGGGGTTTTTTTTTTTACTATATTAAGGGAAAATTAAAAAAAAACGGTTTCCTCTATATTAAATTATAAAACATTTATTATTACCCAATTTTATGGTAAAATATAAAAGACGGGGTCACGTCGGGTAAAAAGACACCAAACATGTCAAGCCTTAAAATTGCGCGCATGTGCAAAACCTCAAATAATTACAATACCCAAAATTGGCCATAGGCGACGCTTGAAAAGCTTTTCCAGCTCATCAGTTTAGTGTTATCAGTGATTGAGGGCCCTGAAATGATTGCTCTCACTGCGGCGTTCGCGGCGATATGTAACATGTGTAGCACAATTGTCGTTGTTGCGCGCTGGTGAACCGAATGCGTATGGGTGGTGGACTTAAACATTTTTTTTCTTTTTTTTTTACTGTTTTTATATGTGACTTATTTTTTTAACTTTTTTTTTTTTATACGTATTGTTATTGCTATCACATAGTTGGATAACAATCTCCCTATATAATCGCAAAGGCACACTGACAAGTCCTCTTTATGGAGACATTAGGGGTCTCTAAGACCCCTAATGTCACCTGGGGACCCCCCAAAGAAGCTGATGAAGCAGAGATCTGTATTACACATCACTTCCGCATTCACAGTACGGCGGGAGTTCAGCAAGGAGGAAGAGGTTGAACTCCCTCCCATCTTATCTTCTGACACCCTCCTGAGCCGGTCCTGGGCCGCAGATGGGCTAGTAGATCCTGGAATTGAAGGTGAGGGGTCAGGAGGGGGCGGCATTACAGGCGAGCAAAACACCACACAACATGCAAGAGATCGGCGGCTATATAGCCGCCAATCATTTGTATGTGAAACAGCCAATAACGACTGTAAAGAACGGACGGGTTTTTCTGCCCCTGCATGCGCGCGAGCAGAAAAAAATGCCGTCTAATTACAGCAACCCACCCATGTGAGTTTGCCGTCCGTCCGCTTTTTCATAACGGGCGAACGGCAAGAGGTTAATACACATTGCATGTTTTCAATTCAAGTGATA